AATAGTTAAAAAGTTGAGATTTTTATGTTTTAAAACCCCATTTTCACTCCATTTGCTCCCATTAGAACCCTAATAGAAAGACTGAGAGAGGGAGAGAGGGAGAGAGGAAGAGAGAAAGGGAAAACAAGAGTTTCATGGGTGGTTCAAGATCAAATCTTCTTGTCCTTTACACCAAAGCCAAAGAGAAAGGTAGGGGTTTCTTACATTTTTGTCCATTGAGGCTAGAATTTATATATGTACATGTTTTGCTTCTAAATCTTAAATATATGCTATGAAATACTTGTTCCTTGAAGTTTCTACAAGTATCACCATGTTTTGAAGGTATTTATAGTTTGATGGCCATAAAAACCCTAGTTTTTGAGAAAAATGGATTTTTCTTCTTAGTGTTCAATTGTTCTTGATTTCAAAACTCTAGTGTTTTGTATTAAACAACAAATGGTATTTGTGATGATCTCTAACTTGATCCGAAATGTGTACACCCAAGTGCAAACGGTCAAGCTGTAGTAACAATCCGGTGAAGTCCGGAGTCGAATCCACAGGGAGCTATGATTGTTGTTTTGAAGTAAACAGTAATAGAGACCAAGTAACTTTTGGAAATTTCGCGTGTTTGGAGTGGTGGGGTTTTTTTTCTTAGAATAGAAGATTCTTTTCAAGAGTTTTCTAGACAAAATATAAAATTCTCAAAATGGAACAACCACTCTTTAGCTCGAGGATCAGGACATGTAATAAAGTATCCATTTTGTTATGTTTATGCTTTATAACTCAATTAACTCCCGTGCAACAACAAGTTAATCAGAAGATAAAGATGGACTACGAGCATTAAGCACATGGTTCCGATGCCTTTTTAGAAGTTTACAAGAGTTGTTTGTGCCGAGACTTAACCCGTCTACAAACAAGCAAGTGTTTCTACAAGGCATCCAACTATGGCATTAATGATCCATTCTTTGTATAAAGCCTAATGATAGTGGGGATTGAAAGGTTGTCATGTAGAGTTAGCCGGGGTATTTGCATTAAACCATCGGATCTTTCTATGTAGGAGTCATTCGTATCATAGATGGAGCCTTGGTTATACAAAGTACCTTAACTTTAGTAGGTGCATTCAATCGTCCGATGAACAGGTGGAGTATAAAGCATTTNGTCTTCCTAGTTAAGCTGGGAATGTTGCAACTACTTCCTATATTCCACGGAATTGAAAGGGAGAATCCTTATTTGCATATTAAGGAATTCAAGGATATAGTTGCAACCTTTCTCATGAATCATGCTATGGATGACATAGCTTGTTTGAAATTGTTTCCCTTTTCCCTTAAGGACAAAGCCAAAACATGGTTGAATTCCTTGCCACCACAATCCATAACTTCTTGGGCTCAAATACTTTATGAGTTTTTGAACAAATTTTTTTTGGTGCCTAAAACCACTGCTCTTAAAAAGAAAATCCAAAAATTTTTGGAAAAACCCAATGAGCAATTTTATAACTATTGGGATCACTACAATGAATTGCTACAATCTACTCCACATCATGGTTTTGAATCATGACAATTGGTGAATTTCTTCTATGAAGGGATTACACCGGACCATCAACAATTCATTGACTTGATTTATAATAAAGAGTTTTTAAACAAGGACCCCAATGAGGCCCTAGATTACTTTAGTTCATTGGCATAAAATGCACAATCTTGGGATATTATGGATCCCACCAGTGTACCAAGGTCTTATCTTGGTTCTAATCAATCTCATGGGGATGGATGTATAATTTGAGGGATGGGAAGACTTACTTTCCAAAATTGCCATGAGCAAGTTAATGTCTTTAACCAAACGAGCCAAACATTCTCCCCACATTCTAAGTGTTACAATCCGGGTTGAAGCAATCACCCGAACTTCAGTTGAAAGAATGAGAACCCTACTCTTCACGGGTCTAATGCATATTCACCTCCCATGCCTCTTAAGCAAAACCAATATCACGGCCATGGCCCATTGTCCAGCTCTCATTACCCCTGGTCTAATCCGCAACGGTATTCACAAAACCTGCCTCCACAAAATTTTTCCCAAGGTCCACCTCCACAAAATTTTGGTCAATAAGGACCATCCAACTCATCCACTTATCAACCTCCCCATAAGAGGATTTTAGAAGATGTGGTTCATAATTTCATCCAAAGCCAAACTGCCTTTCATAATAACATTTTGGTTCAAGTCACAAAACTAGCCAATGCCATAGGGACATCACAACAAGAGAAGGGGAAATTCCCCGCTCAACCCCAAGGGGACCCTAGAGGTCAACATGTGATTGAGTCATCCGAACGCATAAAGGAGAGTTGTGAGCAACTCAAGGCAGTCACCACCCTTTGAAGTGGAAAACAAATAGACAAGACCATTATGCCAAAAGTCTCACCCAAGGCCATGTTGCCTTTGGAGAAAGAGACTAAGGGTGACACCAAGGGGGATGAGGAGAGTGAGAAGAAAAAATTGGTTGATGAAGGTGTACATATATCTCCTATTCCTACCCCTTTTCCCAATCATTTGGAGCCACCCAAGAAGGTGGCTAACTATTTTGATATAATTGAGATGTTCAAGTAGGTTAAAATCAACATTCCACTCCTCAACGCCATAAAGCAAATCTCATCATGTGCCATGATCTTGAAGGACTTGTGCATAGTGAAGAGGAAATTGAATCTTCACGAGAAGACATTCATCACTCAGCAAGTTAGCTCAATCTTGAGGATGAACACCCCACCAAAGTAAAAGGACCCTGAATGCCCTACCATTCCCATAATAGTAGGGAATTTCCAAGTGGAGCAAGCACCACTTGATTTGGGGGCAAGTGTCAATCTCCTACCCTATTCGTTGTATCAACAACTTCACTTTGAAGAGTTGAAGCCAACTCCAATCACTTTTCAATTGGCGGACTGAAGCATTCGAACACCGGGGGTAGTAGTTGTGGATGTCTTAGTTCAAGTTGATAATTTCTATTTCCCCGTTGATTTTATTGTGCTTGAAACTCATCCAGTTGCTAACCCTAATTCAAAAAATTTTGTCATACTAGGTAGGCTGTTCCTTGCTACTTCTAATGTTGTTATTAATTACAGGAATGAACTAATGAAGCTTACTTTTAGGAACATGACTATGGACTTCAATGTGTTCAACCTATGCAGGCAATTAAGAGATGATAAAGAGGTACATGAGATCAACCAGATCGACACATTGGTGGAGGATCACTTGGAGATATTCAACACCTTAAAATTGGGGAAGGAGGAGATTGTTGATGTAGAGGAGGTTGGTGATCAAGAGGAGTTGGAGAACTTGAAAGGAGTAGAAAAATGGATCCCGACATTTGAGAAGCTTCCACATCCAGACAAGAAGATCTTTCCATCAAATGAGAAAAAACCCAATTTGGTGTTGATGCCATTACCATCCAACCTCAAGTATGCATTATTGGGGGAGGCTGAGACCATCTCAGTGGTAATTTGTTCAACTTTGGAACCTAGCCAGGAAGAAGAATTGTTAGATGTATTGAGGAGGCAGAGCCATTGGGTGGACCATAGCCGATATAAAATGGGATTAGTCCCACCATTTGCACTCATATGATTTAATTGGAGGAAGATGGAAAACCATCCCGACAAACACAATGGAGACTTAACCCCATTATGAAAGATGTGGTGAGGGATGAGGTACTCATGCTACTGGATGTGGGCATCATATTTTGATCATCAATAGCAAATGGGTTAGCCCCGAGAAAGTAGTACCCAAGAAATTGGGAGTTGTGATTGTGGTAAATAAGGAGAACGAGTTAACCCCAATAAGGGTGGCCACCAAATGGAGGGTGTGTATTGATTATCGGAAGCTCAACTTGTGCACGAGAAAAGACCACTTCCCATAGCCATTCTTCAACCAAATGTTGAAGAGAGTAGTTGGACATCTATTTTACTGCTTCTTGGATGGCTACTCAAGTTACAATCAGATTGAGATCGCATTATAGGATCAAGAAATGACCACCTTCATTTGCCCCTATGGTACCTTTGTGTACCGACGCATGTTATTTGGGTTGTGTAATGCCCCGGGAACTTTTCAAAGATGCGTTATGGGGATCTTCAGGGATATGGTGGAGAAGATCGTGAAAGTTTTTATGGATGACTTATTAGTGTTCAGAGATTCATTTGATGGATGTTTAGAGAACTATTGAAAGATGTGAGGAGAAAAACTTGGTGCTCAACTGGGAGAAGTACCACTTCATGGTGACACAAGGAATTGTGCTCAGCCACATTGTTTCAACAAAGGGGATTGAAGTCGACAAATCAGAGGTTGAGGCAATTTCCAACCTCCTCACATTGACGATAAAAAAAAGATAGGGTTATTTGCTCTAGTGATCCCCAAACTATTCACGTTGTCTCATTTTTGTCCCTAATATTTCAATTGAATTAAATTGGTCCCCAAAGTATTCACTGTGATTTATTTTGGTCCCAACCACAGACGCCGTTTGTTTTTTACCGTCTCTGTCTCCAAGTGCCATTCACGTGAAGGGCAAAGTTGACATTGCACATACCTAGTCTGGGAGGGAAACATTCCCACCAATTCCTCCATGCTCACGTTATACCTTGTCCAATAGCCAAAGGAAGCAAATAGAAAATTTAAATTCAAGTTCTCGAGGTCAAATAAACCTAATTACCTATGTACTCCTCATACAACTAGTCCAATTGAGATCATCATCCAAGCTTAGCATGCTTTAACTGTTTGTCTACCATCTCAATCACCAATAACAAACACCATGAAAGAACCACAGAGAAAAATAAATGTCATCCTTTTTCATAGAAGATATAACACCAATCAAAATCGGAACAAATGCGGACAAACAAATATTTCATGGAATAAGCTATTACAAGGCAAAAATTACTGACATGCAGCTTTATTTACAACAAGCAAGCAAGTGGACTAAACGATGCTCAAAAAACTCTCCCCAACATGGGAGGAAAGTCACCAAACATCCAAAGATCCACCGGATTCCCACCATCCTAAGTTGTGCCGTCAGAGAGGAAAGTGTCCACTGAAGCATCCCAATTCCCTTCAAGATCAGGGATCTCAAAGAACTTCATCTGGGACTCAAATGCAGAGAGCTCTTCAGAAAGACTATTCACAGTGCTTTCTTTACCAAACACCAAGTCCACAGAGTTGGACTCCAATTTCTTTGTAGGATTAGCATCCTCCACCAGTTGAGCTTCATCAACTTCTACTGTGGCTGTGAGAATGGATGATATTTCTAGAGCCTTGGAGCAATAGTCTCCCCACCCAAAGTCAGAATAATCAAAAGAGTTACTTCCCTACAATAGCATGGTGTTGCCTCCATTTTCACTAACTTCTCCATTACATGAATTTCATCCCTCACATTTTCCTTTTTTTCCCTTCTCTTCCTCTTTTTTCCTCCCTTCTCTTCTTCTTTTTGGTTTGAGATGTTCTATTTGCTTCCTTTGTCTACTAGAGATGTGGGCATGGAGGAGTTGGCGGGAATGTTTCCCTCCTAGACTAAGTATGGGCAATGTCCACTTTGCCCCTCACGTGAATTGCATATGGAGACGGAGACGACAAAAAACAAACGGCGTCTGTGCTTGGGACCAAGATAAATCAAAGTGAATACTTTGGGGATCAATTTGATTCAATTGAAATGTTGGGGACTAAAATGAGACAACGTGAATAGTTTGGGGACCACCAGAGCAAATAACCCAAAAAGATATTAGGTCGTTTCTTGGTCATGCCAGCTTTTATCATCATTTTATAGTTATAGTAATTTTATAGTAATATTAGGTCATTTTATTAACCCGACCTTTAACCCATTTTCTTTCAAAAGATGTCCCACTGTGTGGTCAGATGATTGTGAGGCATCCTTTACAAAATTAAAAAATATGCCTATTTCACCACCAATCATGCGACCACCCAAGTGGGACTCACCATTTGAGCTTATGTGTGACGCGAGTGATTACGTGGTCGGTGTAGTGCTTGGTCAAAGGGAGGATAAGAGACTTTATGTAATATACTATGCTAGCAAAACACTTAATGAAGCTCAAATGAATTATCCCACAACAGAAAAAGAGTTGCTAGCGATAGTATTTCCATTGGATAAATTTCGGTCTTACATCATTGGTTCACCTATAGTAATCTATACCAATCACTCTGCTTTGAAGTATCTTTTGTCTAAGTAGGATGCCAAACCAAGAATAATTAGGTGGATACTCCTCCTATAAGAATTCAACTTGACGATCAAAGATGAAAAGGTAGTTGAGCAAGTGGTGGCAGACCATTTATCCCGACTTGTGGTAAAAGAGGCCGATGAGTACATTCTTATCTCGAATTTTTTCCCTGATGAGCATTTACTTTCTACTCATTCTGTTTGTCCCTGGTATGTTGACATATCTAATTATCTTGCCACAAGACAAATACCATCACACTGGAGCCCTGAGGATAGATGAAAGTTTATGGCATATATGAAGTACTTCTACTTCGACAACTTGTACATATTCAAGTACTGCCCTGACCAAGTCATGAGAAGATGCATACCAAAAAATAAAAAATGGGATGTCCTTGCATTTTGCCACTCGGAGGCATGTAGTGGCCATTTCTTTTCCAAGAAGACTTTAGTAAAGATTCAACAGTCAGGTTTTTATTGGCCCTCATTAAACAAAGACTGTGTCTCATTTTGTAAGGAATGCAATAGGTGCCAAAGATTGGGTAGTGTGACACGAAGGAATATGATGCCCATCTCCCATGTACTTGTTATTGAGATATTTGACTGTTGGGGCATTGACTTCATGTGCCCCTTCTCCATTTTGTTTGGATACCTATACACTCTGTTGGCAGTGGACTACATGTCCAAATGGGTGGTCAAATTCTTGAAAGAGAACATTTTTGAAAGAGAACCAAGACCAACCAAGACCAATGACCACTAGGTCGTGGTCAAATTCTTGAAAGAGAACATTTTTTTGAGGTTCAGGATGCCTCGTGCTATGATAAGCGATGGTGGGTCACATTTTTATAATAGGTCATTTGCATCTTTGATGCATAAGTATGGTGTCACACACAAGGTGTCCACCGCATATCACCCACAGATCAATGACCAAGTTGAGTTGGCCAATAGGGAGATCAAAAATATCTTAGAGACAATGGTGAACCTGAATAGGAATGATTAGCCATTTAGACTGCTCGATGCCCTATGGGCTTACCGTACTACCTACAAAACCATCCTAGGTATGTCTCTCTGTCGACTTGTTTATGGCAAGACTTGCCATTTGCCAGTTGCAATGGAGAATAAGGCCTATTGGGCTATAAAGACTTTAAACTTCAATTTGAGAATGGCTGAAGATAATAGGAAGCTTGAAATGAATAAATTGGAGGAGATTCGAAGAGATGCATATGAGAGCTCTAAATTTCAAAAGAGAAGGCTAAGATCTTTCATGATAAATCCATTGTATGAAAATCATTTGAGCCTAGACAAAAGTGCTCTATACAATTCTTGCCTCTCGATCTTTCAAGGAAAACTTTGATCCCGTTGAGATGGCCCCTATATTGTCAAGGTGGCCTACCCCAATGGAGCTATGGAAGTAACAAACCTAAAAAATGGTAGGAAATTCAAAGTCAATGGCCAAATACTTAAGCCATTTTTTGAAGGGTTTGAAGGTCAAGGGGTGGAGGAAGAATTGATGGATCCGGTTTACCCAAACTTGTTGGTGGATTAACTTTCTTATGATTTTTAGTGCACAGTCATCTTCACTTATTTTATCTATTTTGTTTACTTACTTTTTCTTTGCATACAGTGTTTTTTTTATGAGTTGTAGATATTGGTATTTTTTTCAAAGCTCAAGTGCGAGGTGTTCTCTAACCCCACTAATCTTTTTACAGTCTTTTATTACATATCATTTCTTTTTGTTGCATTGAGGACAATGCATGAATCAAGTTGAGGAGTGTGGTGCACCATTTGTATGATACACCAATGTTTACAGAAATTTTTGTTGATAATACCAATTAGATGAAAATTTTGAAAAAAATTATCTTAATGTTGATCCATATTCCCCTATGTAGAGTGTTATGTGTTTGTTGATATGTTGATTTTTGCATTTAAACATTAAATACATGAGCACATTATAGAAGTTCATCCTATGCGTGAGTATCACTTAAGTATTTGCTTTTAAACTCAACCTTAAGTGCACCGTGAATGCTTAATTTTGTCAATTTATGAATTGGATTCATATTTTAGTGCTTGGCATGAATAGTGGAGATGAGTAAGGACCTATGAGAGCTTTAGTGTTAATCCTTGTTGAAGGGAACTTACAATTACTCATGGAACAAATTTTCAAATTCCAAATTTTTTCAATAATCTCATTATGCTTGTTTTTGTTACATGCATTTGGGTAGTTGATCGAATTTGTCTTGAAATGCAATATGCTTCCCCATGCCTTTCTAGAAATGATCCTAAGCCATCTTTGATTTACTTTGAGCCTTAATCTCATTCTTGTGAAAGTTTATCCCCAGTGCTGTGATTGAGCCTTAATTGTAAATTAGTTCTCCATACCACACATTTGACCAAGCCAATGCAAAATGATAAAAATCTACCTCACCCTGGTTGTTCCTAGAGATGAATATGAGTGATCTTAAATGAGAAGGAAGTATGGTGTGGAAACTCAAACAAAAGGGAAGAATGATGTTGAAATTGAATGGAAAATGAATGAAAATCCAAGAAAAGGAGGAAAAAAGGGATGAAATGAAGAAAAGAATAATAAAATAAAAGGAAAATGTTAATTAAAAGAGAGAAAAAAAAACTAAGAGTGTGGTGGTGGTGTTAGACTAAAAAGCCCATGAAAAGGGAGATGTTTTGAAACAAAGTCATTCACTCGGAACAACCCTCTTTGTTGTCCTCTATCATCTGTTCATTTACCTAGATAACACCCCAATGCCTCATTACAACCTGTGAAAAGTCATAAATGATCTAAAGAAGCATGTGGGATGCACACTTTTAAAGAAAAAGAGAAGTTGGTTTTGCTATCTAATTCCCTAGCATTCCCTTCATGAGACTCTGCCAAGGTTGTTTTATTTTCATGCTTGAACTTCAATTTTGGATTATATTTGAGCATACTTCATTTTGTGCACAAGATTCTATCTCACATGTACATATGGAGAGCATGTCAAGATAACTAGAGTGTGATTCATTGTTAAGAGACACCCTTGGTGAAGTTGTGTCGAAGCTTAATTTGGGTAGCCAATCGAATGTGAATTCCATTGTGTAAATTCTTAAAATTTAAGTGCATACTCTAGACTAGTATTTAAAGCCACGATGATGCTCATGTGGGCTTGGTTTGGGTATTTGAATGATGTGTTAGGCAACCCTATGCTTGCGGTATAGGGGAATATTGCTCAATCGTTTGATATTTGAATGAATTAGGAATGCCCTTGTCATTTGAATATGTGTCCTACATTTTGGGTGTTCATTTTGGTAGTTAAATGTAGAAATATATACCTTGTGTTTTGAAAGCATTGAAATTTTAAATCATATTGCAATTTCGGTAATGACTTGGGGCAACATAGTTCAAATTGTGGTTTACAAGTGTAGCACATGTTTTGGTGGAGTAGAGTTCATAATAGAGTGTTAGAATGTATTGAAGTTGAAATGAAGTGGAGAGGAAGTGAATTGGAGAGCATAGGTCTTTTTTGCAAATAAGTGAAAAACTATCGATAGGTTTGTACATAAAACTACCGGTAGTTTTTGCTCACTAGAGTAAAACCTACCAGTAGGTTTTGCCCAGAATACTAAATTCGGGGTTTTAATCAGATTGTTTTGGGAGAACTGTTCATTGTCTTCCCAAATTACAAACTCTTAGACACTTCTTTCTCCCTCCAAGCATCTCTAAGCTTAAAAATCCCTCACCCATTGCCTTAATCTCTCATCTCTCACTGTTAGGGTTGTTGTTGAGTGGATTTCATTAAAGATTTGTGGATTTAATGAAACTGACTAATACATTTTTGGCTTACCGTACAACATGCAAAACTATTTTTGGGAATGTCTCCTTATTAGTTATTTTATGCCAAACCATGTCACTTGCATGTGGAATTGGAACATCGAGCATACTGGGCAATCAAAATGAGAAACTTTGATATTGACAAAGCAAATACATCCTGCAAACTTCATATCAATGAATTAGAAGAGTTAAGAAATGAAGCATATGAGAATGCTAAGATTGCTAAGTCTAGAATAAAAATTTTCATGATAAGAATATAGTAGTGAAATCTTTTGAGCCATCTCAAAAAGTCCTGTTATATAATTCAAAATTCCATCTAT